CAAGAGATTATTTTCAGCCTCCTCGGTTTTCATTTCTAACGTAGCAATAAATCCAACCCAAAGAAACAAAAGCTCCCCGCAGCCCTCAGTGATTTCTGGGCGGGTGCCGGGGTCCCCACATGAAGAGGCTGGCGAAGCGCTGCCCTGGGGGCCGTCGGACCAGCTCACCCCGCTGGCCACTTGCCCCCATCCTGTTCATCGGAGGGTCAGCCAGGCAGGTCTAGCAGCCCAGTGGCCTGTGGGGTCAGCCCCAGGGAGAATGTACCCCGACCCCGGGAGGTGCCCCCCACAAGTCTGCCAACCCACAAGCCCCCGCACCAGGTGTGTGCCCCAGTGGGCTACACTGGCGCCTTCTGACCTTCACCCCTGACCTTCGCTCCGTCCCCACCCCAGGCGCCCACCAATAAGCCCAGCATCGGCACATCCAGGAGGGAGAGGAGGAAGGCTCAGCGCACCCCTGCATGAGGTTTTGTGTTTGGGTCGACCGTGCTTAACGGACTGGAGACTGGGGGTTCTGGGGTCTGCTACTTGGACTCTCAGGGTGAAGCCGTCTCCAGGACGGGGCCATCAGCAGGAGAGGGGCTTATTCTGAACTTCCCTGGAGAGACGAATAGGAGGTCTTACACTCATGCACCCCACTCCCAGACACGTCAGGTCCTCCCCCCAGAATCAGCATCCAGAGGGGCTTCCTGCCCAGGGTGCAGCGGCTCAGAGGCCACTCTGTTCCCAGGAGCTGAGGGGTCCAGGGAGGGAAGAGATGCCTTCGCCTCAGGGGGTCCGAAAGCTGCAGGACTGCGGGAGCCCGCATGGCCCCATCCCAGGGCAGCCCCCGTGCAACCAAGGATGCAGGACGTCCCCTCCGGACATCACCATCGCGTTGGGCATCGGGGCAAAGTAGCAGACACGAGCGACAAAGGGGAAGCCGAATGCTGAGGAGCAGGGCACCAGAGGACAGGGCGGTCGGGAAACAGGCAGGGGCTGTTCGGGGAGATGGGACGGGAGGGGTCCCCGAGAGGGTTCAGATGGAGAGAAGAGGGGTGGCTTGGGGACCGCCGTGGACACATCCCCCCCCCCCCAGAACAAGGTCTGGATAGGGCAAGGCTTCAGTAAAATGTCTTGGAGACCGTGAAGGGGAGTGTCCATCTGAAAACCCACAGGGGGGTCTGGGTTGGAAAAGGGACCGGACAAAATGGGTGCCTGGTGGTGACAGCTCCAGGGGCGATTCCTCGGTGAAGGGAGGGAGCCAAGGAGAGAGAGGCTGGAGTCAGGGAGGCCGTTAGGGAGGCTGCGGGGGCACCCGGGGCACCCAGACGGACGGGGAAGGGGCGGGGGGTGGGGTTGAGGAGGAGGTGAGCCCAAGAGGAGGGGAACGAGAGCCCAGAGGGACAGGCAGGTCCCTGGGCCAGGCAAGGGTGGGGTGGAGGCAGAGAAGCCGGTGCCGGGCTGGGAGAAGTTGCTCCCAATGGGCAAGCAGGCGGTTTTAGGGAAGCTCGACAGTTCACTTCTCACTCCTCGGACCTAGGCTGACTGCAAGGATGTCCACGTGGGGCAGGGAAAGGAGCCGTGGAGCGGACACGCAGGCCACAGGATAGCCCAGCCGTGGTGGGGGAGGGCTGCTTGGTCACTCCTCCGGAAAGGCGGAGGGACAGGGACCAGACCTGACCTCGACCGACCGCAGAAGAACCAGGGGCCGGGCTGGGCTGGCGGGGGGAGCCCTCGCGGCCGGGCCAGAGGGTGGAGGCAGCACACGGCAAGCACGCTTTTTAGGTGCTAAGCACTGTTCCAAGCCCTTTACCCATTCTGACTCTTATTCCCCAATGGCTATGGGGCCCCTGGAAGGACGAGGAGCCCCGGGGGGGGGGGGTGAGTGGTAGCACCGCCCGGGACCCAGCAAGTCTGGCTCCGAGGCCATGCCCTTCAGCGCCCCGCAGCCTCCCAGGCGGCGCCCGAGCAGGGGCAGCCCAGGGACAGCGCACTCAAGGGGCCGCCGGCCAGCTGCCCTGTCGTCCGTCCGGGGCCCATCCAGCGTCCCCGCTCCCCACAGAGGCTGTCGCGATTGGCCTGGGGGCTCGGGGGCTGGGTTTTGTTCCAGAAGGTGGTCTCCTGCTCTCTCCCAATCTCTCCTTTTCTGGGATTTGCCTCCTGAAGCCTAACCCAAGTCCCGCTGGAGGCCTCTCAGCCCTCCTCCTGGGCCTTCTGCCCCTGGAACAACGTCCCGGGGGGCCAGACGTGCTCCGGCCTGCTCCGAGCCCCGGCTCCGGCTCCGGGCCACACCAGTCCGTTCCCACTTCTCGCATTCCAGAGCCAGCTGCTCCTCTCTCCCCACCACCCCAAATCCAGCCCCCCGCTGCCCGACACCCACAGGACACTTCTTCCCACAATCCCTTTCTCTTTGCCCTTTCAAGGTTCTGGTGGGGGAGGGGCCGGAGAGAGGCCATGGCCACGTGTGGATGTGAAACTGGATGAAGGAAGAAAAGCACCGAACTGAGCAGGTGGGAGAGTGGGGGTGAGGGGGTCGGCCCGCTCAGGTTCCGGGAGCTGCCCCCACAACCACCCTGCCCGGGCACCGGACGCGGGGAGTCCGCTCTCTTCCTGCAGGTCCATCCCAGCGGCCTCCCAGCCCCTGCCAGGGCCTCACTGCTACCCTGGACAGCGTGGCCTCAGCCTGGACGGTGGCACTGACCAGTCAGGCAAGAGAAGAATCTAGGCCGGCGGGGAGGTGAGGCGGGGGACAGTGGAAGCTTTCTCCTTCCGTCCTACATAACCCTTGGCAGGAACGTTGGGGGCTCCAGGCCCCGTGTCTCCTTCCCTCCCCACCAACGTCGGGGGCTCGGCCTATCTTCCACCTTGTATGCAGACACAGTGTCTTGCCAGGAGACCCAAGAGGACTTTTCTCCTCTGAGGAAGTGGGTCTTTCCGCGTGACTCACCCCGGGCCCTAAGCCTGTCATCCCACCGTTCCCGGGATGACCCCAGAGGACTTGGTTCGAGCCCACCAGATCCGAGCGTCCCCGCGAGGAGGACAGGGAAGGACGTCCCTGGGTCATCTGCAAGGCCCTTCTCTTATGGCCCAAGCCAGAGCAGTCAGGGCTCTAAGTGAGCAGGTGCAGGTAGGGCCCCCCCCCCCCGCACCGCTCAGTGGGGCACAGGGAAGAGGGGGATGCCAGTGGGCAGGCAACTAACCCTCCCGTCCGAACACAACTGACTGATAGTGGCCTGGATGTGGGCCAGATGTTGGGAAGACAGGGCTTTTTCTCCCCAGCGTAGGGGGCAGCAGTGGGATCCTGCATTAGAACCACGGAAGGAATGGGCCCATAACCCTGCCCTGCCCACCCCCCACCCCTCACCCCTCCATTCCATGGAGTCATTGCCATTTGATACCCACTGAGACAAGTTGGCTGCTCGGGCTCGGCTGGGGGGTGGGGGGTGGGGGACAGCTCAGAAAACAGCAGCTCCTTTCAGGACCCAGGCTGGCAAGGGCTTTGGGAGGCTGGACTGGCCCAGATCACCCCCCAACACCCCCTCTCTCCCTCCCTCGCCACCACCACCAAAGGACAGAGGGGCGGGGAAAAGAGAGTTGGCACTGCCTGGGCCATGCCTATTCCTCCGCAGACCAGCCCTGGCCCCTCTCCCTGGCATGATGCCTTCCTCCCCCTCCCTCACTTCCTGCTCCCCGAAGAACCAGTGAGGAGCCAGGACACCTGTTTCCTTCTACACTGGGTTCCCCCGTACCCAGCCGACACCCCAAGGAATAAGCAGACCCTGCCCCTCGGCACAGAACAGTGCCCACCACTGTGCCAGGAGCATGGTCAGAAAGTCGTAGAGATTAAGGAGAAGGTTTGGGGATGGAACCCAATGGAACTCAGTGGCCGCCGCTGGCCCCTCCTCAGGCTGATCCTTTGACAGCCTCCAGACCTGCTGATGGCCCTCCTCACACTAGGGCCCCAAGTCTCCCATCTCCTTCTCCCTCCCACCCCAAACTCCTTGAAGCAGTCCCGGTGGGGAAAAAACATCAAACACCACAGCTAAGGCAAACTGGCCAAAAAATCTTTAGCCAGGACTTGTATTGATAAGCAACAGAATCAGGCTTTGAGCCCTGGCCTGAGCCTTTGGCCCCTCAGGTCCAGATTTGGGCCCTGGTTCTCCGCCACCCCCACTTCCCATCTGCCTCACCCTGGGGTGCTCCTCAAGTGCCCAGAGGCCCTGCTCCCACCCGGCCCAGTTGTGTCCTGCTCCATCCCAGGGCTCAGTTCTCTGCCCCCAAATCCGGAAGCTGCACCCCTCCTCTTGCTCCTAGCCCAGTGCCCGGTGCCCGGTACTCATGGCAGTTCCTCAGGTAGGGGGGAAGGAGTGGGATGGGGAAGGGCTTCTCCATCTGGAGGGGGAATGTTTCAGAGCCCAGTCTGGCCTGCAGTGCTCTTCCTAGGGATCTTTTACTGTGAGATGGTTGGGGAAGGGGGTGGTGAGAGCTGGGGAAGGAGGGGCGGGCGGGGGGGGGGGGGGCAGGCACACCAGGCTACAGCGCTTCCTAGCCAAGCTGGATGTGTCTGTCTTCCCATGTGTGAACTTGTGATCAGTGGGTGTCACTAAGTGAGTGCCGCTGTGTGGGGAGGGGGCACCGGGCTGGCAGGGCAGTGGGAGTAACCTGATGATCCTGGGAAGAGGGGGCGCGTCTGGAGCGGCTGCGTGGGGGTGCAGGGTCATATGTGTGCCGTGGGGGGGAGTCACTGTGTTCCTTGAGAGGGCCCTGGTGGGAGGCCAGGTCAGCCTAGTAGGGAGGGCATCCGGGCGGCCCCCTGCTTAGCCTAAGGCACTTGAGGTGACCAGCCAGGGTGGAGTTTCCTTCTTGGGGAGCCCGTTCCTGGAGGGTCCGTTTGGGGTCGCCGGAGGTGGGAGACTGGTGCGGCCAGACACAGGGGCACCCACGGGCTGGGGGGGCACCCACGGGCTGGGGGCCCCCCGCTGTCTCCGGGGCGCGGCGGACAGGGCCCGGGGGCTTACCTTGGAGGTCCCTGGATGGGCAGCGGGACGCACGGACGGGGCGGGCAGGAGCGAGGCACCGAGCTGGGCGACGGGCGGAGCCGGGACTCTTAAACCCGGAGCTGGGATCAGATAAGGGCTGGGCCGGGGGCCGCGGCCGGGGTCGGGCCGGCCGGGGGCAGAGCTGGGCCGGGCCGGGCCGCCCCCTCCCTCCGCAGCGCCGGAGCCAAACTTGGTGTGAATGGAGGGGCCGGGAGGGGGCGGCGGCGGGCGCGGGGGGGGCGCGGCGGGCCAATGGGGACGTGGAGCGCCAGGCCCGGGCGCGGGGATTGGAGGGGCCGGGCGGGCGGGGCGCAGGGGCGAGGGGGGCGAGCCGCGGACGCCGGGGCTCTGCGCGGAGCGGGACCAGACAGCCTCCGGGAGGAAGCGGGCCTCGAGACGATGGGCCAAGCGATAGGGGCCGCGCCGGCTCGCCGACGGGCAGGGGGGCGAGGAGGGGCTGGAAATGAACCCGGGCGGCCCGGCGCCCTCCCCCCTGCCCCCGGCACCCGGCCGCCAGGTCGCCCCCCGGCCCCCGCCCTGCGTGCGCCCCGGGTGCCAGGTGCGCAGCGCTCCGCGGTCCCTAAGGGAAGGGCGCAGGTTGCGGAGGCGCTGGGGGCGCGCAGAGCGCAAGGTCGCCCCGCTGAGGGGCCCTGGTGGGTGTGGGGCATCCGAGCAGGGCCCTAAAGGGTGCAGAAGGTTCAGGTCCGGGGCGAAGGTGGGGTGTGCAGCGTCGGGAGGGCGTCCGAGGCCCAGGGAACTGGCCATCACCAAGTCCGCTTGGGAAACAGCCGCCCCCCGGGGGGTGGAGGGAAGGGGGGGACTGGGAGGGGGACAGAGCCCAGGTGGCGGGTGGTCCTCAACCTTTCTGTCACCAAAGACGGCTTCCAGAATCTGAAAGGGTGCTTTGAGAAGTTCTCATCCACAGTCTCCCACCCTTGGCATTTATTGAGGAAATCATTGTTTCCCCATCTTTGTGGATCACAGATATTTAGGGGCTGAACTATTGAACTACTACTAACCGGTAACCAGTATTACCATATGAGGTGATGGATATGTTGCAAAAAAAAAAAAATCAAGGAAACTTGAAATTGTCAGTTTAGTTCCACCTCTAAAAGCCACAGGAAGGGTAAATGGACGCTGCAAATAGGCCCCCTGGGGGAGGGCGGTGGGCTACCCCCGGGGGCACCACAGGGGCTGTGTTTGTGTTGGGGAAAGACCTGGAGTAAAGAGAGAGAAATAGGAGAGTTCAGGGTCAGCTCCGAGTTCCCGAAGGCAAAGGAAGGCCACAGAGGCTCTTGAGCAAAGTCACAGCAGAATTTCAGGAAGCGAAATCTGGAAGTGAGCAAGAGGGTTGGACTCAGGGGGCAGCCGGACGGCACCCCAGTCTTCATCCTGCCTCACCTCATCTTCCCCGAATCAGCGCATCCGCGCCGTGAAGCACCTCAGGCCTGTCCACCTTGGTGTGCGCGGCACCACGGGGTTGTGGTCCAGGATTCCTACAGCTGCCTTCTAACTGGTCTTCCTCCCTCCAGTTTCTTCCACTCAAATAATCCTGCAGACCACGAAGTCCCACGTTTAAGAGTAAACAGTGATAGCGTACATCTCTCTGGAACAAGTCTGACCACGGCGCTTCCCAATGTAACAGCCTTCAGCGACTGCCCACTGCCTAGAAGGAAAATCCAAACCCCTCACCCCGGACGGAAGGTCTGCCGTGACCTGGGCCTGGTGCCACTTCAGCCTCATCCTCGCCGACTGGCCCTGCCCGCCCAAACCTACAGCCGCTCCCTCCCTCGACACCAAAGGTTCAGTCTTGGGTTCTCTTTCGGTGTCTGAGGGGAGTGTCCACCACTGACGTGGCTCTGGCCACCACCTCTGAGCTGCACCCTGAGGCTCTCTTCAGAGCATCACAGTTCTGGCTGCTGGCAGGGGATTTCCATGCCACCCAGACAGGGCCCCCAACTGAACTCATCATCTTCCTCCTCAAGGCTGGGAATCCACATGACTTCTTTATTTCTGTGTTTCTCCTGAGCAAACAGGTTTAAAAACTAAGTGATCTCTCCTCTTCACCCTTCCTCTGCCCCATCCCTTGACATGTCAACTAAGCTACCCAATCCTGCCAGTCTCCCTTTGCTATATTTCTCTCGGGTGTCCCTTTCTAGTTCATGGCCACTACCGCCATCAGGAAGGGCGCTAACAGCCCAGGACCTGCACCCACCCTTCACCCCTCTCTCCATTCTCAAAGAAGAGGCACCCGTCCTCACCGTGTCAGTCCCTATGCTCTCCTATCAAGCCCCAAACAGGGTGCCCCTTGCTTCTTGAGCACAGTCCAAGTTCCTCAGCTCGGCACTTAGGGTACTCCTCTGGGACGACAGGGAGGAAAGACTCCAAGGGCAGGAGCAGAAGGGATACCTAGTGGTGCGGGAGAAGGGTCTGGAGAAGCTCCTCCCAAATGGTCTTTGCCTTTCCTGTAGAGCAGAAGAGCCATCTGCTAAAAATCAGGGTGGAGGGTGGACTGGGCAATTACAAAGAACTTGAAAGTTCTAGAAGAGCAGAGGTGCAAGACTGTGGGAAAGTGCAGATAGCTGGAATGGAACTGTAGGTTTCTAATTAAAACAGAGTGATTTAGGGGCACCCACACGGCTCTGTCAGTTAAGCGGCTGACTCTTCACTTTGGCTCAAGGTCCTGGGATGGAGCCCCACGTCAGGCTCCGCCAGCACTGGGGGGTCTGCTTGGAGATTTTCTCCCTCTGCCCCTCTTCCCACTCTCTTTTTCCCAAATAAGTAAATCTTTTTTTTTTTTAAAGAGTGGTTTAAATGGAGTTTTGTTCTTAAGTTATGTTCTATAACATATATGCACATATCCATCACGTATATTCCTTTGTACAGTTTGTCAAATGATCCTTTTTAATTTTTAAATCTTTTTACAAAAGAGAAGTCCTAAGGGTGCCTGACTGGCTCAGTCAGTAGAGTGTGCGACTCTTGATCTCGGAGTCAGGGCATGAGTTCAAGCCCCACATTGGGCGTAGAGCTCACGTGTATAAAAAAAACTTTTTAAAAGAAGTTCTAGAATAGTCACTGGGGGCCCAGGAGGGAACCAGCAATAAAGGGCATGGGACATCAGTATTTGTGAGTGTTTATGATGCCACGCAGATATATTATGACCTGAGATGGGAAGCAAGCCTCTGAGAGGGTGAGTGGCTGGCCTGCGTGACGTAGCTAGCTAGAAGGTGTTAGTTTTGGAACTTGAACCCACGTGTGTTTGACTCCAAAGCTTGTCTCAGGGCAACGCTAGGGTGAATCTGTGTGGGTTAAATAGAATCTTAATCGTCAACACGTGCAATGGGGAGTCTGCTTGGAGATTTTCTCCAGTTTTGGTATGAAAAATTGGCCAGGGTTGTGAAGTCCATGCCCACCACGTAAGGCGGTCTCTTGGGCGGGCCCGGGCTGCACCTGTGCAGGGAGGACCCATCCTGGACCACATCTAAATGGCAGCTAGGGGAACCGGCTCTCTTTGAAGCCCTCCCCTCTTGTCAGCTTATTAGCAAATTGGGTCTTTCTCATTCTAAACTGCTCCTTTCGGGCTCAGTCCGTCCAACTGTGGCCTCATGTCTTTTTTGACCCTGTTCTGGAAAGACGAAGGATGACTCTATCCTGGCTCACTACGGGATCCCGAGCGACATTTCAGCTGAACCGTCTCCACGAGTAGTGGGCACCTGGTAGCGGGATAACTGAGACCGCAGCAGGAGGGCTCCGAGGGACGCACTGGGCCACATGGCCCCGGGCGCGCGGGGACTGTTGCTGAGGTTTATAGGTACCCTCTGCCTTCCGTACACGCCATATATTCGAACTCACCTTCATTAGACTGGAGTCAGGGGATGCTTCATCACTACTCAAGGACTCTCCCTAGTGCTTTCACTTGGGGTTTCCTCCAGTGTCTTTCCAGTGGGGTCCAATGGATAAGAATTCCATTCCACGGTGATAGTGGGAAGGCAACAGGGAGTAAAGAAACAACCACAGGGCGCCTGGCTGGCTCAGTGGGTGAAGAGTTTGCCTTTGGCTCAGGTCAAGATCCCGGGTCCTGGGAGAGAGTCCCTGCTCCACAGGGAGCCTGCTTCTCCCTCTCCCTCTGCCTGCCACTCCCCCTGTTTCTTCTCCCTCTCCTTCTCTCTCTGTCAAATAAATAAATAAGAATCTTTAAAATAAAATGAAACAACCAAGGCCCAGGAGCTGGGATGCCCAGGTTTTAGTACTATCTGTTCTCTGGGGACCCATCCCTGACCTGGAAAGTGAGGACTTTTAAATCATGGCCAACCTGCACCCAATCCTATCAAGCAAGATGGATGTGGTTATAAGAAGGCTCTGATCCTCCAGCTGTGCTGGAAAGAGCTAGAAGGCTAGAGGGTGTCCCAGCCTCAGGTGCCCAGGGTGGGGGTCTCACCTGTCCTGGCGCTGGGCTCTGCTTCTCCCCATGTCACTCTCACCTCCAGTGGCATCCGCTGTTTTAACCATAGCCTCCCTCTGCTCTGACTTTTCTAGGGCCCTCAACCCCCTTGAATTTATGAAAATTGTTAGAGTTCCTGACAGACGGGCCTCCCTGTTCCGTTAAACTTGTATCCTGAACCATCTCCTGCTTTCCTGTCATGCTCCTCTCCCACCTCCAAGACCGTACCCGCGATGTCTCATGATCTCGCTTAAGAAAGCCTTCCCAGGTTGGCTGGCCCCAGGGCTCCCACATACAGCTGCACAGCTTGTGGACTGCACAAATGCACTCCGTGAGGGGGCAAGCTGAGAACTGAACTGCATTCGGCTTGCCAATCCTCGCAGCCTGGCTCGGAGCTATGTCTCCGAGAGGGATTCCCCCTTTTTATTTTTGCCCCAGAGTACCGCTTGCTCTCCAAGCTACATGCCATCAGGAACGCCCCTGCCCAGAGCCGCCTCCCTTTCCTACTCCATAACAAGGTTCTTTGCAGACCACCACTGACGTGGCTCCGGCCATGCCCCTCCTGCCCTCAACGTTCTCAAGTTCCAAACCCAATCTCCCACCATGATGACCACTGTACCGACATGTTTTACTAGTCCCGTGCGCAGTTGCTCTCTCTCTCCCGATACCTGAAAGCTGAGACCTTGCCTGTTTTCTGTACCCGGGAACCTAAGAAAACATTTCCCCCCTCCCCATGTTCAAGCTCAAGGATAAACAAGGAACTGAAGTTGGAGACCTGCGGTGGGTGGGGTGGGGAGGGATAAATCAGAGGCGGGGTGGTGGGCACCCCGACTGAGGCAGGGGGCTGGCTGGCACCCTCTGGGTGGCCCTTCAGCCTTGTGACCCCCCCCTCAACAAATGGGGCCAGTTCTATGCAAATGCACTCTCGCCTAGGGGTCCGGTTTCCTCTCTCTGAGCTGCTGGCACAGCAGAACCAACGTGAGCAGCCTCTTGGCAGGACAGAGGAGGGCAGGCTAGCAGTCTCAAGGCTCAGGTGACAGGCCCAGGCCCAGGAGACGGGGATGTTGACTAGGACTGTAACAGCCCTCCTGATGCCAATCTCGGGCTGAAAACTCGGTATTTCCACTTGCAACAAGAAACAGGGGCAGGAGGGCTGGGAAGAGGAGGGCAGCGTACCCGGAGTGCCCCCTGCAGGGCTCACTGGGTGGCACCAGAGCAGAGGAAGGCAGCCGGGGTGGGTGAGGAAGATCCAGCTAGCACTTGCTGAGTCCTTCTCATATGCCAGGCAGGCATTGCTTCCTGTAAGCCTCATGACAACCTCCAAGAGGCGGATAACATATTCTCATTTCCTGGATGAAGAAACTTGGCAGTGGACAGAGTGGAGACTTGAACCCAGATCTCTGCCTCCCGAGATTATATTACTCACTATGACCTTTCCCGCCTCTCCGGCTCAGCCAGCAACTTCTCACCCTCCAGGGTCCATTTCTACATCTTCCGCTCCTCCGGCCCATATCTCCTTATTCCAACTTGAAGGATCTGGAGAAGAACAGATCAATGTCGCGGGTATGATAGTGCTAATGATAACACCTGGCATTTGTACACCACTCTCGGCTTTTAATTATTTCCCTGGGGAAAAGGAACAATTTGTATCGAGCTATTTGTATTTCTCCAAATCTTGTTCTGATTTTTATCCTTGTTCCTACAGCTATTTCTGTACAGTTATGATCAACTTATAAGAATATTTTTATGTGCTTCTTTTTCATGCAAGAATGTGCCTCTTGCACACGGACACTTACATATGTGAGCATAGTAACCGACTGTGTTTCTCCGCTGCGGCTATTTCCTTGCCGAGGCCTGTGGCTTTGTGAAGAGCACGCAGTGAGGCGGGGACACACTTGGGGGGGTCTGGCTACGATCTCTGCTGCTGTGACCTTTGGCAAATCACCTTTCTCCTTTTCAGTTCCTCATATATAAACAGAGAGGATCATACCCATCTCACAGGGTCCCCCCCAAGGCTGTTAAATGAGTCCTTCCAGTTCATAGCTGATGCTCGACGAGTTATCAGGGGTAATATTAGCATTATGTGCTGTGTGATAGTGTGTCTTTCTCCCCCACTGGCCCACGAGCTCCACATGGGCAGAGGCAAAGTCATATCTGTCACCACCCCCCACACAGCACATTGCCCAGCACTTGGGCTCCATCCACAGGAGTTTGTTGGATGAATCGTTTTAAGCTCTAACCTCGGCTTTTCTCTCTGTAGGACGTTTGGGTTGTTTCTAGAATCTCCGCTATTAACAAAACACACTTTAAAGCCCTTCTATTTATATTGCCTCATTTGATCTGCGCACCCCGTGAAGCAGGCAGAAACGGGGTATCTGCATGTGTCCACTCCCTGTGAAAAATAGAGCAGCCGTGGTTCAAGGCAACGAAGCAAATCCTTTGGGTCACGTTACAAATCAGTGACAAAGATGAGAACCCCCGACCCCACCTCCCTTCCTTGGGTGAATCTCTTTTCTTCTAGGTACCTCCTTCTGGATCAGGGCACTCTCTTCAAAAATGGGAGACATCGGGATCCTTGGGTGGCGCAGCGGTTTGGCGCCTGCCTTTGGCCTGGGGCGCGATCCTGGAGACCCGGGGTCGAATCCCACATCGGGCTCCCAGTGCATGGAGCCTGCTTCTCCCTCTGCCTGTGTCTCTGCCTCTCTCTCTCTCTCTCTCTGTGTGTGTGACTATCATAAATAAATAAAAAAGTTAAAAAAAAGTTAAAAAAAATGGGAGACATGATGGTGCCTACGTGAGAGCAGTACCTGCACCCAGAGGCCCCTGCTGGCGGTGGATGAGCTGCCGGCTGCCAGGGGGTCCTCTGCATCCCCAGGAGACCAAAGGCCTTACTCCCTGACACACCAGGGCCCGTATTTTCTCAGAGCAAGAAGCTTCTTAGGGAAGACCGTGCGGGCTCCCCTTTCTTTCTCTTTCTTTCTTTCTTTCTTCTTTCTTTCTTTCTTTCTTTCTTTCTTTCTTTCTTTCTTTCTTCTTCTTCTTTTTTTTTCCTGAGGGGGCGAGTCGGCGAGCTCTGAGTTGTCCAAGAGGAGGGACTTGGGTTAAAAATAGCTATGGCGTGTGGCTCAGCCTCTAGTGGTACCCAGGACTGGGGAGGGGAGGGGGATGCTCTAGAGCTGTCGCCAGACTGGTTGCTGTGGAAACAAGAGAGGAGCAGGGGAGCCTGGGAAATGGGGATGACACAGATAGCAAGTCCTGGCCAGAGCTGCCGCTACATTTAGGAGAAACAGCGGTGTCTGTGGCTCCCACCCTGCAAGGGGGTCAGGGGAGGGGTGGTGTCAGGGGCATGGACGCTACCCCCCAGGGGTCTCTGCTGCCGGCTACTCTCTTCTCCATACGCTGTGAGTTGAGTTGCGGGGGACTTGGGTTTGGGCCCCTAAATCCAAGGCAAGTGGGGGCTTGGGAGCAGCTTGCTCCCGAGGGAGACTTCACCAGATCCCCTTCCAAATCAGAAGGCCTCTTGCTGACCAGCACTCCCTAGGGGAGAAAGGGCCATCCAGGAAAATGTGGCCCCAGGGCCTTCCAGAGAGGGGTCATGGCATGCGCAGGAACTAAGAAGGAGTGGGAACGGGGATCTTCGGAGGAAGGTGCAGAAGCCAAGTCTATTTCACACCTTTACTGCCCCCTTGAGAAATATGCAGCCTCCACTCAGGAGGTCAGGAGAGGGGACGTGGTCAGAGGAAGGCTCCCCCAGCCCCCCCCGGGCCAGGCAGAGTGAGAGAGACCTGGCGGTGACCAGACCGCGGGGTTCCTTGCCGCCCCCGGGAAAGAGAGATCTGTCGAAGCAGGCAGATTGGGGGTCAGATTGCCTCGGAGCCCGGGAGAACGTCGGAAGCCCTCCTGGGGCTGCCGCTGGGTTACGGGGGACCCAGGTATTTTTCTGCATGACTTGGGGTCTCTGAGCCAGTGTGTGCTTAGCGAGAACTTCTAGAGGACATCCCAGCGGCAGGGAGGGAAAGCGAAGCCCACTGTCGGGCCAGAGGAAGACCCAAATCTTCATTGGACAGTGTCCCCCTGACTCCTCTTGGAAAATAAATGTGTGTGGGGGGATGTCCCTAAGGTGCAAACTATCTTTTTTGGGGTTTTCCTCCTGCCCTCTACCCCAGTACACACACACACACACACACACACACACACACACACACAGGGCCTTCTGAGGTCTGGCAGCAGAGCACCTGGTCCCAGAACTCAAATGCTGGAGCGCTGGGGCTAGAGCTGCACATGCAGGCGGTGTCTCCCCAGGACCTGGTCAGACATCCAGGCCATCTGTGATCCTTGTCACCTTCCCCGTCCCCCGCCCCTTCCCCGCCCCGTCACCCAGGTTCCCCTGGAGCGGGAGGCCAGAACCATTCCCAGGAAGAGGAGAAGGTTGAAGAGAAGCAGGTCCTTTTGAACCTTCCCTGGCAGGGGTCCGGACCTCCCGCTCAGGGCACACTGCAGCTCAGATCGTTCCTCAGGGGGAAGCATTTGAAGCAAAATCAGGTGGGCTTCCCTTGGATGAGAGCTTGGGGCGCATGGTGGGGGCTGCGCTCAGGGTAGTGGGGGGGGGGTGGGAGCTGCCAGGGGAAAAACCCTGAGGTGCTGGGGAGGTGAATGTGGGTGCTTCGTGCTTCACCTGATCTGCTTGTCGGGGCCCCTGAGGACCCAGAGCTGAGCGGGGTGCGGGGTGCCGGCCAGGGTACACAAGCCCAACTCCTGAGGAACTTGGGCTGCGTCTCCCCGGCTGCTCTTCCCCGGCCCACGGCCCTCCTGCCCCCTGTCAGTGTGCCTCCCTCGGGGGCGGAAAGAACCCAGGGCACAGGGGGCACGCACCCGGCCCATGCGTCCCCGACCCTGTGCCCGGGGACCTCCAGGGGCGCCTGTGGCTGGGGCAGGAGCGCCTGCCTTTCCGCCCCCACCCCCTGCGCGTCTCCTGTCTCCTCCGCCAGCTCAGCTCGTGGGGAGCAGGCAGCTGTGCGAGGGAGGGGTGCGGGGAGGACGGGGGAGGGCTGCGGGGCTGGTGTCCCGTCTGGGGAGGGGGGGGAGGGGAGGGGAGGGCCGCCTCCCCAGCACCCGGGCTCGGGAGTGAGAGAGCCCTCTCCCTGCGCTCCGGGTGGGGGGCGGTCACAGGGGGATGGAGGGGTGGAGGGACGCAGGAGGGGTGTAGGGGTGTGGGGGGCGGCCGCAGGGGCGTGTAGGGGTGTAAGGGGGTGGGGGCTTCAGGAGGGTTGTGGGTGGGGGCGGGGCCTCAGGAGGGATGGGGTGGAGGCGGGGGCCTCCGGAGGCGTGGGGGCGGGGCCTCTGGGGGTGTAGGGGGAGCGGCCGCAGGGTCGTGTAGGGGTGGGGGCGGGGCCTCAGGAGGGGTGGGACGGGGCGGGGCCTCCGGAGGCGTGGGGGCGGGGCCTCTGGGGGTGTAGGGGGAGCGGCCGCAGGGTCGTGTAGGGGTGGGGGCGGGGCCTCAGGAGGGGTGGGACGGGGCGGGGCCTCAGGAGGCGCGTGGGTGGGGCGGGGCCTCTTGGGTGAGGGGCGTGGCCTCGGGAGGGGTGGGGCGTGGCTTCGGGAGGGGTGGGGCGTGGCCTCGGGAGGGGGCGGGGCGGCCGCAGGGCCACCGTCCCGCCGCCCGGGGTCGGCCCCGCGCTGACCGGCCGCGCCCCGGGTCCCGCAGGCCCCCTGCGGCCGTCGCCATGGCCCGCGCCGGCGCCCCGCGCTCCCCGGGCCGCGAGCCCCCGCGCCGCCGCGGCCGCCAGCGCTACGTGGAGAAGGACGGCCGGTGCAACGTGCAGCAGGGCAACGTGCGCGAGCCGGGCCGCTACCTGACCGACCTGTTCACCACGCTGGCCGACCTGCAGTGGCGCCTGAGCCTGCTCTTCTTCGTGCTGGCCTACGCGCTCACCTGGCTCTTCTTCGGCGCCATCTGGTGGCTGGTGGCCTACGGGCGCGGCGACCTGGAGCACCTGGGCGACGCGGCCTGGACGCCCTGCGTCAACAACCTCAACGGCTTCGTGGCCGCCTTCCTGTTCTCCATCGAGACGGAGACCACCATCGGCTACGGGCACCGCGTCATCACCGACCAGTGCCCCGAGGGCATCGCGCTGCTGCTGCTGCAGGCCATCCTGGGCTCCATGGTGAACGCCTTCATGGTGGGCTGCATGTTCGTCAAGATCTCGCAGCCCAACAAGCGCGCCGCCACGCTCGTCTTCTCGTCGCACGCCGTGGTGTCCCTGCGCGACGGCCGCCTGTGCCTCATGTTCCGCGTGGGCGACCTGCGCTCCTCGCACATCGTCGAGGCCTCCATCCGCGCCAAGCTCATCCGCTCGCGCCAGACGCTCGAGGGCGAGTTCATCCCGCTGCACCAGACCGACCTCAGCGTGGGCTTCGAGACCGGCGACGACCGCCTCTTCCTCGTGTCCCCGCTCGTCATCAGCCACGAGATCGACGCCGCCAGCCCCTTCTGGGAGGCGTCGCGCCGCGCCCTGGAGAGGGACGACTTCGAGATCGTGGTCATCCTGGAGGGCATGGTGGAAGCCACGGGTGCGCACGGCGGGGAGCTGGCCGGGAGGGGAGGGGCGGGGGGGGGGGGTCACCGGGCTGGGACAGCGCCCGAGCGCACGCAGCCAGGGCCCAGGCGCTGTGCACCCCCCAACTGGCCCGCTCCTAGGAAGGTCACCTCCTGCAATCGTGCCCCTTTGCAGGGCGGAGACCGCCGGGGAGCCTGAGGCCTATCGCCAGGGAGGGGGACATAAGGCCACAGGGCAGGGGTCGTGCGGCTCCCTGCACGGCGGCGCTCCAGGGAGCAGGGGTAGCTTCGGAGAGTTCTCCATGGCTTCCAGGTCCAGGCCCCTGAACGTGGTGCTCTGAGGGTGTCCTACTAGCCTGGATCTTAGGAACAGGTGGCCGGCTGGGCTCACTTCTGCCTCAGTTTCCCCACCCATCAAGGCTCTCTCAACTTCCACTGACAAAGGAAATAGATGACCCCAGCATTTCTAGCCCTTTCCAGAAGGAGCTGTCAGCACCTCCAAGTCAGGCCTGCGTGGCGAGGGGCTTGGGAGCCAGTGGCAAGAGGCCAACGCAGGGGCACAGACGAGGTGCTCTGAGGCTTGGGATCTGGAAGCAGGAGGAGGATAGGAGCACCGCAGTGGGTGACACGGGGCTGCAAGGTGTGGCCCGAGCATGGCCTCTGCTGGCTTCCCAGGCTGGGGCCCTCCAACAGCTTCCCTGGCCCTTCTGGCCGAGCCTCTCCTCGAGCACCCTCTGCCCCAGTGCTCCCCAGTGCTTCTCTACCACCCCACACCTTGCTCCCTCTAGCTCCTGCCTCTCCTAGTCACCCAGGCCCTCTCCTTGCTGTCTAGACAGTTGTCACTCTCCTGCCAGGCCCTGAGGCATCTGCTGTCCCTGCAGAGAGGTCCCTGTCCGGCCCCCTGGGGCCCCAGCCCCTGCCTCTGTTCCTCACCGACCTCTCTCCCCAGTGTCCCCTCTGCCCCTTCCGCCTTCCCCCACTGGATCCCTGCCATTGCAGCCTTCGCCCGAGGAAGAGCAAGACCCATGTCCCCAGGACATCTCGGGGCAGGGCTTGCGATGCCAAGAGCCAGGCTCTGTTAGCTAAGGTTCGGTCTTCCACTCTGCCTTGCTCTGAGCTGGACGTGGGCTGTGGGAGACACCCCGGGGGCAGCAGGACGGTCGCTTGGCCTGGTGGGTGTGCCAACCCAACACGGAGGGCAGGACACGGCCCCAGAGTGAGAGGACTGGGGAGGACGGCGTGGAGGAGATAAGGATGGGACCCGCCTGACTTGTCTAGAGAGACAAGGCTGGGAAGGACGGCAATATTTTGGGTGAGAGAGTCAGGATTCAAAGTGCTCTTGAAAAGCAAGTGTAATGAGCCAAAGCCCAACAAGATGACATTTAAAAGGAATAAATATAAAATTCTACATTTAGGCTTTAAAAAAATCACTTATGTAAGCACCGCATTGAAGAGCTCTGGTGAAAAAAGAACTGGAGGTTTTAGCTGGCCACGGGCTTAGTGTTGCAGCAAAATGTGATACAGCTTCCAAAAATGTTTACGTAACGTGATGTTGGGCCCGATGAGCTGAGGCGCCGCGGCCGGAAGAGAGTGGCGGCCGGTGTTGGCACCCCCAGAGCGCTGGGGGCCCTGCGCGGCCCTTCCGGTGTGCACCCGAGCAGGTCATGTTTTGGAAGGCAGATCACACGAGGAATGGTGGGGGCGCCAGGGATGTTCGTTCGGCTGGAAGAGAAGACACGACGGCCGAGGTTCTGAACGGGTGTCAGATGGCGGGGTGAAGGGGGGGCCCAGGGGGGTGGGGTGGAACCCGGGGGCGGGGGGCAGGCTTTAGCTCTTATGAGGAGCACCGTTAGAGGCGTCGGCCCCCGGGAGGCGCTCGGGCCAGGCTGGGAAGGCCCCGTGGGAAGGCCCCGTGGGAAGGCCCCGTGGGAAGGCCTGTGCAGGGGCCCGGCCTGGACGATGCCCGGCCGCGGCCGGGGGAAGCTCCCCGAGGCGCCTCGGAGTCGGGCGGCGGAGGCGGGCGGGCCGGGGCCTTGGGGCGGCCGGGATGGCGGGACCGCGCTGACCCCTGCGCCTCCCCCCAGGGATGACCTGCCAGGCCCGGAGCTCCTACCTGGTGGATGAGGTGCTGTGGGGCCACCGCTTCACGTCGGTGCTCACGCTGGAGGACGGCTTCTACGAGGTGGACTACGCCAGCTTCCACCAGACCTTCGAGGTGCCCACGCCGTCGTGCAGCGCCCGGGAGCTGGCCGAAGCGGCCGCCCGCCTGGACGCGCATCTCTACTGGTCCATCCCCAGCCGCCTGGACGAGAGGGCGGAGGAGGAGGGGCCCAGCGAGGGCGCGGGCGCGGGCGCGGGGCCCGGCGGCGACACGGAGCGGAACGGCCGCCTGCCCCCGCCGGAGTCGGAGTCCAAGGTGTGACCGTGTCCTCCCGAGCCTGTGGCAGGGCCGGACCCCGGACGGGGAGCTGGATGGCGCTGGATGGGGGCGGAGGAGCACCTCCGCTGGGAGGCGGAGGCGGGCGGGCGGCCGGGCTTGTTGACGCCCCTCACAGGCCCCTCACAGGCCCCTCACAGGCCGCCGGACCGGAGGGAGGGCCTGGCCGAGGCGCCCGAGGAACCTGGCGGCCTGCGCGTCTGGCCTGCGCCCCCCCGGGCGGCTGCACGGACAGAGGGACGGAGCAGGGGCCCCTGGCCACGCTGAGCCCGGAGCGTCTCTGGGCAAAGTCTAAAGGGGCTCCCTGTCCCCCAGGCGCCCTCACCGGCTCCTCACCGGCCTCCCGCCGGGCTCGCGCCCCACACGCGGCCGGGCTGCCGGGGCTGACCCGGGGAGGCCGCAGGTGCGCAGGGGAGGGTGCCCGGCGGCACCCACCCCGCAGGAGCCGGGCCACAAGGCCGCAGGGCTGGCGCAGGAGGGGGCGGGTGGCCTGCCGCCAGCAGACAGGAGTGGCCCAGCGCAGGGGAGGACACGGGCAGAAGCGGAGAGGGACCCTCCAGGAGGGAGAAGGGCCGGAGGGACCCGGAAAGGGAGCTCGCCCGGAGCTCGGGTGGGGCCGGGGCTGCTGAGGGGGCGCGCCCCGCACTGAGGTGGAGGGCCCCGGGGACCGGCCCCACCCCGGCCGCACACCTGCCCCTGCGGTGAGCACCGTGGTTCCAAGTGGACCGAGCGTCCCAGCAGAGGCAGGAGGCTTCAGGATCAAATCAAGGGAGTGAGGAGGCGCGGAGCGAGGAAGCCCGGGGCACCACGGGCACCATGCTGCTGTGTCAGCCACGGAGGCTTGCCAGCCCGCTGCTCCGCCTCACTCCCAGTTTCTGACTCAGTGGGTCTGGGGAGGAGATCAAAAATTTGCACTTCTAGTAAGTTCTCAGGTCATGGTGATGCTGCTGCAGCGGGGGCCACACTTTGAGAACCACTGCTCTACACAAAGCCTTTGGAGCCACATCAGGAGGCCGTGCATTGGAGCTGAGGGGAAGCTGAGGGGGAGCTGAGGGGGAGCTGAGGAGGAGCTGAGGGGAAGCAGAGGAAGAGCTGAGGGGGAGCAGAGGAGGAGCTGAGGGGGAGCAGAGGAGGAGCTGAGGGGGAGCAGAGGGGGAGCTGAGGGGGAGCTGAGGGGAAGCAGAGGAAGAGCTGAGGGGGAGCAGAGGAAGAGCTGAGGGGGAGCAGAGGAAGAGCTGAGGGGGAGCAGAGGAGGAGCTGAGGGGAGCTGAGGGCAGAGAGGAGCTGATGGGAGCTGAGGGGAGCTGAGGAAGAGCTGAGGGGGAGCAGAGGAAGAGCTGAGGGGGAGCAGAGGAGGAGCTGAGGGAAGCAGAGGAAGAGCTGAGGGGGAGCAGAGGAAGAGCTGAGGGGAGCAGAGGAGGAGCTGAGGGGGAGCTGAGGAGGAGCTGAGGGGGAGCAGAGGAAGAGCTGAGGGGGAGCTGAGAGACTGAGGAAGAGCTGAGGGGAGCTGAGGGAGCAGAGGAGGAGCTGAAGGGGAGCAGAGGAGGAGCTGAGGGGAGCAGAGGGGAGCAGAGGAGGAGCTGAGGAGGAGCTGAGGAAGAGCTGAGGGGGAGCTGAGGAGGAGCTGAGGGGGAGCAGAGGAAGAGCTGAGGGGGAGCAGAGGAGGAGCTGAGGGGAGCGAGAAGAGCTGAGGGGGAGCAGAGAGGAGCTGGGAGGAGCTGATGAGATCTCATGAGAAGCTGAGGAGGAGCTGAGGGGGAGCAGGGGGGCAGAGAAGAGCTGAGGGGAGCAGAGGAGGAGCTGAGGGAGCAGAGGAGAGCTGAGGGGGAGCTGAGGAAGAGCTGAGGGGGAGCAGAGGAAGAGCTGAAGGGGAGCTGAGGAGGAGCTGAGGGGAGCAGAGGAAGAGCTGAGGGGAGCTGAGGAGGAGCTGAGGGGAGCTGGGAGGAGCTAGGAAGCCTAAGCTGAGGGGGAGCAGAGGAGGAGCTGAGGGGGAGCTGCGAGAGCTGAGGGGAGCTGCGGGGAGCTGAGAGGAGCTGAGGGGAGCAGAGGGGAGCTGGGAGGAGCTGATGAGAAGCTGAGGAGGAGCTGAGGGGGAGCAGAGGAAGAGCTGAGGGGAGCAGAGGAGGAGCTGAGGGGAGCAGAGGAAGAGCTGAGGGGGAGCTGAGGAGGAGCTGAGGGGGAGCAGGAAGAGCTGAGGGGAGCTGAGGGGAGCTGAGGAGGAGCTGAGGGGGAGCAGAGGAAGAGCTGAGGGGGAGCGAGGGTGAGCTGAGGAGGAGCAGAGGAGGAGCTGAGGGGAGCATAGGAAGAGCTGAGGGGGAGCTGAGGGGAGCTGAGGGGGAGCAGAGGAGGAGCTGAGGGGAGCATAGGAAGAGCTGAGGGGGAGCAGAGGAGGAGCTGAGGGGGAGCAGAGGAAGAGCTGAGGGGGAGCTGAGGAGGAGCAGAGGAGGAGCTGAGGGGGAGCATAGGAAGAGCTGAAGGGGAGCTGAGGAGGAGCAGAGGAGGAGCTGAGGGGGAGCATAGAAGAGCTGAGAGCTGAGGGGGAGCTGAGGGGGATCAGAGGGGGAGCTGAGGGGGGGCAGAGGAGGAGCTGAGGGGGAGCATAGGAAGAGCTGAGGGGGAGCTGAGGGGGAGCTGAGGGGGACCAGAGGAGGAGCTGAGGGGGAGCAGAGGAGGAGCTGAGGGGGAGCAGAGGAAGAGCTGAGGGGGAGCTGAGGAGGAGCTGAGGGGGAGCAGAGGAAGAGCTGAGGGGGAGCAGAGGAGGAGCTGAGGGGGAGCAGAGGAAGAGCTGAGGGGGAGCTGAGGGGGAGCTGAGGAGGGAAGGTAAGGGTAGCTAAGGAATAAGGTGAGATGCTGAAGGGAAGCTCAGAGGAAGCTGAGGAGGAGCTGAGCAGGAGCTAAGGGATAGCCGGTGGGGTGGGGGGAGCTGAGGGGGAGCTGAGGTCCTTGGGGGAGGAGCTGGAACTCTGAAGGGTGGGCTATCCTGAGGGGAAAGGAGCCCCTGACCCCCAGGCTGAGGAGTCTGACTCTGGGCCTGGGAACTCACTCAGAGGAAATAGCGCAGTGAGGAGCTGGAGCTGGCGCCTGGGGAAGCCCAATAGGCAGGATGGGGAGGGCAAGGCCCCCCGAATCCTGGGGGGTGGGGGGGGTCCTGCGCAGGGCTGGGGTTGGGGCCAGCAGAGACAAATGCCTTGCAGAGCTCAGAGGCAGGACTGAATACGGGGGACAGGGACGGCGGACGGCGCCAGGGAGAAGCGAAGAGCCCAACCTCGGGATGTGCCTGTGGCCTGCTGCCTGCCCTGCTCGGCCACCAGGCCCTGGAGACACTATCGCCGCCCCACCCCCTGCGTGGTGCCCCCGGAGTCTCGGGCGGGGGCAGCCCTCCGGACGGTGAGGGCAGAGCAGTGACAGGATGGGACGGGCAGAGGCGGAGGGGACCTGAGGCGGGCCTCCTGGGAGAGGAGCTGTCCGGCCTGTGCTCCCACACACTGCCCGGCACCGCGGCCCGCAGCGGCCTCCACCCTGGGTCCTGGCCACACCCTGTTCCTGTCCTTTAATAAAAGACTGAGGCCCTCAGGGCAAAGCACTGCGTGGGCTCCTCGCCCGGTGGGGCTGGGAAGCCGAGGTCCCGCGGGTGCCTGCGCCTCCGCGAGGCGGGCGAGGGGTCGGGGGAGCCGCCGGCGGGCCCACTCCAGCGGGCCCACTCCGGGAATCGTCTGCCTCTCCTCACGGGGCCACCTGGGTCACCATCAAAGATGAGGTCCCCGGGCCCTGGCATCGGCTGTTCCCGCAGAACAAACGCTGGGGTGGGGGCCACGGTCGTTAGGTTTACCTGCCAACCCGGGGAGCCTGGACAGGAGGGGGGGCTGTGCCCCCCACGGGCAACTAAGCGTCCCCAGAGAGTCTTGAAGCAAAGACAAATTCCGGGGGCTGCGGGGGCCCTGGGTGGGGGAGCCAAGACCTGGGGGCACACGCCCGGCTGCTGGGGGGCAGTGTGCGGGCTCTGTGACAGGTGCTCCCCCCCCCCCGCCCCCCGCGGCTGTCCTCCCGCCCCCGGGGGGTTGCGTCGCTTCTGTTCCACAAGAGGAGGGCCAAGCCTGAGAAGGCAGAGGAGGGGCCAGGCTCAGGGAACACGCCTCCCCCCCCACCCCACGTGCTCTCCCCCACCCCCACGTAGGAGTCCCAGTGGGGACTGGCAAGGCAGCGACAGCTCAGGCAGCAGATGGGACCCAGGTGTCCCCTCCTGGGGTGGGTGGCACAGCCCACAGGGGCCAGATGGTGTTTGTGGTGGGAAGGGAGGCCCGGGTCGCGGGAGTGGGCTGTTCAGCTCCCCCCACGCCTGCCGCACCTCTCAGCACCTGCCCCCCCCCACCACGGAAGACACCGCTAGCCCTGGATTTTATAAAACAAGTTTATTCACATTTTAGAAAAACTAATTCTAGGCCAGGGAATGGCCTCCCTCTGGGCAGGGCCGAGATCAAGAACAGAAGGCCAGAGGGGGGGTCGGGAAGGAAGGAGTGGGGGGCAAGGGGTCAAATAAATTAAAGGAAGGGGAGCGGGGGGGGGGGGGGCAGCCAGGTGACCGGAGGCTGTCTTGGAGCTGGGCCGGAGGACGCTGGGCACCTGCAAGGCCTGGGGAGAGCGTGGGCGCGCTGAGCACGGAGCCCAGGCTGCTGCACCCCGGGGCGTTGGGGGGGCTGGAGGGGGGGCTGGGCAGGGGTGGGCCTGGAGACAGAAGCCGGGGCTGGGGCTCTTCTCCCTCACCTGAGGAGCCAGGGATCACCGTTTTCTCAGCCTCTTCATGAAGCAGCAGGTGATGGTGCCGAGGACGGTGGCGCCGGTGACTAGGGCGACCCCCGCGCCCACCAGCAGGGGCACAAACAGGGTGTCCAGGGCTGGGCCAGAGAGGGCGGCTGCTTCAGCTGGGGGGCCGCTGGCCCGCACCCCCGGCACAGCCACGTCCCAGCACCTCTCCCTGGGCTGCGGGCCCTCCTCCCCCCACCCCTCTCC